TTTCCCCTGTGTCCAACTTACTGGTTTTCTGTCTCATTTTTCAAGATCTTATCTATTCATCTTCTGCCTCTGTTTTTCAAATTCACTAACAACCTAAATACCACTTTTCTTTCAACTACACTCATGAAAATAAAAAATCTTTTTCTCACACTACTTTCAATACAATACATCTCCCTCCAAGGAAATAGAGTGAAGCTTAAAATACACAATATACATTACCTATACTTTCATTCGTTTACATTCACTCACTTTTATTTCTCATTCCCTTCCGCACATTCTTTCCCACCCTCAGGACACAGAGTGGATCCCTGTTGACAGAGAATCGCGGGTCCCTGTGGCCCCCCCTCGCCTTGGGGTGGCCTCTGGGTCTCAGTATCTCCGGGCCTCCTGGGAGGGCCCTGACTCTGCTGCCTCGGGTGCCGTTCACCTGTGAGGCTGATTTGTGTGTCACTCACACTCTTTAGCCACGGCCCCCTCACACGCCCTGGGGACAATGGCCCCTTTGCAGGTCACCTGTACCTTATGCCACAGCCCCCACACCCAGGAGAACAATGGCTTATTTGTGGGTCACACACTCCTCTTTCCACAGCCCCCCTTCCCACCTGCCCGGGAAGCTGAGGCTGATTTTGTGTGTGACTCGCTCTCACACACAACAAGACAACAATAAGGTACCTTTTAGTTTCACATCACCTATTACAATTTTAGGTGTTTCTGGCCAGTTCCGGTGCTCTTGGATATCCCTCAACCCAGCTGTGTTGTCCAACCCCAGATGCTCTTGGGTGTCGGAGTGTCGGGGGGTAGGACGGTCGGGACGGACGGAGTCGAGAGATCTCTGCAGCCAGGGCATGGAATTGCGGTTTATGGCAAAGGGCCTGGGTGCAGGGCCCTGCTTGAAGCTGCCAGGCACAGCTCGGAGCAGGCCCGAAAGAAGAGAGGGGTAGAGAGGATGAGAGAGTAAAGGAGTAAGAGAGCGAGGTTCGGGGAGACAGAGCGAGGCTGCCAACGGGGCAGGGCGCGCCTTCCCCACTCTGACTCTCCTAAAGCACCGGCAGCGAGGTGTTAGTAACCATCCTCTGCTACCAAAATTGTGAAAAGTGCCAATCACTTGCTTTTAAAATTTTACATGTTTAATAGTAATAAAATGGTTATAAAAATTTGCAATTCAATTAGAGTAATAACAATTTGGATAAATCGAATTAGGACAATATGAGACAAGAAATACAAAGAGTTACGGATGTCTGAGTACCTTTTTCTGGGCAGCACGAGCCTGAAAAAGGACACCCCTGAAAAAGGACACCCGGGCCTGAAAAAGGACACCTGTTAACGCAGGATTAACCATTAAAAACAATAGCCTGTTGCATATTCATACACTTCATACATGATGCATAAATTCCATTCAAACACAGGATTCTGTCTGGTCAGTGCCACCTTCTTCCTCTGAATCCTAACAGCGCCTTCGAGGTGGGAAGAAGTTCATTTCTTCTGACAAGAGAGCAATAAATTCTTTTTCTCTGAAAGATTTAGGTGTCCTGTGACTGCTGTCTCGCTGCAAGTCATTTCTTGGAAAAAAGCCTCTTACCAAGCATAGTTTCTATTTTAACATTTTTTTAATAACCTAAAACTATATTTAACCCACTACTTAAGATAATTAATACAGCATTACTTTCTAACACAAGACATATAATATTCATTTTAATATTTGGGAAAACCCAATCACAAAATATGCATTTTTTACAAGTATAATCCCACTTACTTCCAATCTCTCCCAGTTTAGTCCCAGCTGTCTCCAGCATGGTTCCAGTTGCTTCCTCAATCAACTCAGTGAGTCCCAGTATGATGCCATTTGCTCCCAGTTGCTCCCAGTCAGGCCCAGTATGGGGGATGATGTGCAGGGAGTGCTCATTGTGACACTCAGTTCCTCCCAGTATTAGTCCAGTCCCTCCCAGTATGATCCAAATATGAGCCCAATGTGCTCCCACTCTCTGCCAGAATGTACCAGTTGTGCTCCACATGGTTCCAGTTGCTCTCTTTCACCCTCATTTTCCTTCTAGTCAGCCCCAGTATATACCCAGGGTACCCCAGTTCCCTCCACCATCTTTCCAGTTCCTTCCAGTATGATCCCATTTGCTCCCAAGCACTCCCAGTCAGCCTCAGTGTAGTGGCACTCACTGCCAGTATGATCCTAGCCATCCTCTCACCATCCCAGTTCATCCCAGTATATCCCATTTACCCCTAACATGGTCTCAATTCCCCCCCCCCAGGCTCCTACTCACTCCCAGTGTGATCTCAGCATGATCCCAGTATGATGGCAGCATGGAGTCAGTACAAACTCAGTACAATCCCAGTATGATGCCAATAGGATGTCAACAGAAAGCCAGTAAAGTCCCAGTCACTCCCAGTATGATCCCAGAATGATCCCAGTGTCCATCAGTGCGATCACAGTCTGCCCTGGCATGGCAATATGATCCCAGCATAATGTCAATACAAACCCAGTACAGTCCCATCATGATCCCAGTATGATCCCAGTATGATATCAGTACAATCCCAGTACAGTCCCAGTACAATCCCAGTATGATATCTGTACAAACCCAGTACAGTCCCAGTCACTCCCAGTACGATCCCAGTCCAGCCCAGTCCCTGGCAGTGCTGCCACTGCTGGGATCCCCCAGCCCTGTGTGCGTTCCCCCCTGGCGGATGTGCCGAGAGGAGCCCCAGGGGCTGGCAGTGGCCAGGCAGGGTCCCCAGCAAGGCCCAGTTTGGATGTGCAGCCCCCAGTTTGCCCAGTTTGCCTCTCCTTTGGCCCGGGCCGGGTTCCCCCCGCCCGCAGCGGCTGGAGCAGCCGAGAGCCCCGCGCTGCCCATCCCGACCTGTCCCGGCTCCATCCCCGCTCCTGCCGCGGGCTGCGAGGGCTGCGGGAACGGGGCACCGAGGGTGTGGCTGCTGCTGGGGGAGGAGGAGGAGGGAGGGAAGGGCAGGGATGAAGGGGGAGGAGGAGGTGGGGTTAGGGACGAGGAGCAGGGGGAGGAGGGATGGAAGAGGAGGGATGAAGGCGGAGAGAGAGCAGTGATGGAAGGAGGAGAAGGAGGTGGGAATAACACAGAGGGAGAGGAGGATGGGGGATGGAAGGGGAGGAGTGTGAGGAAGAGGAAGAGGAGGGACAAAGGCGGATTGCGGCTGAGCTGAGGGACCCAAGCTGTCAAACGCTGCCTGAATTCGCAGCCCCCAGCTGTGGGATCATCGCCCCCCCCCCCCCCCCCCCTCCATCGCACTGGTGAGCGGGGAGGGGGAGCTTGGCACGGATATCCTGAGGCGGGTCCCTGGGTTGGGTTTTTTGGGGGAATGTTTGGAGAATGAAGAAGTCCAGGGCTGAGCGGAAAAGGCCCCTTGGGGGTACATCGGAGGTGGCGGTGGCGGCTGCCGGCAGAGGCAGCCTGGAGGAGCAGAGCCCTGTGTCCCCCAGGAGCCCAAAGTGGGGAGCCCAGAGAGGGGGGAGCGCCGCCATTGGCGGGAGCCTCAAGAGCCTGAGAGGGGCAGGGGGGACTCCTTGGAGCCGCTGCAGCCCAGAGCAGAGAATGAGGGGAGAAGGGAGCCCGGGAGCCCAAACAGCCCCGGCATCCCGAAATGGGGAGAGCGAAGTGGGGGGAGCTTTTGGGATTGCTGGGACTGCCAGCAGCCTGGGCAGGGCGGGCACCGGGCACAAGGGGGACCCCCAATCCAAGCGTGACCCCAGCAGCTGGGACAGGGGGGAGCTGCTGAACACCAGAGGGGAGGGACCAGGGACGGGGAACTCCTGGGAGGCTTTTTCAGGGCTGAATCTTGGTGTTTGGGAGGTTTTTCTGGAGCCCAGGTGGACAGTGACTTGTAGAGATGGACTTGGGCAGAGGGACCTTCAAACTCAATGTGTGTTGGGGAAGATGAAACAGGAAAACCTTATAAATATGATTGTCTGGCAAAAGACTTTGAGAATATAGAAAGTATAAGGAAGATTAAAATGAAAGTAAGCTTTGAGATACCTCAGTTAGTGAACAACTGGAAAACAATGGTGTGGCCCAACTGAAGGTAATCCCCGTTTGATGAAACAATTCCCCCTGTTTGCAGGCAGATCCAGACCCTAGTAGCTCAGCAGAAGGGGTCCAAAGAGGAGTTTTTAGGGTGCAAAATGTAACACAGTATGGTGATGTAATGATTCTTACACGCTGTATGTAAATGCTCTAGGATTTGTATCTCGTACTAGATTGGTTGGTGAGAAATAGAATATTCAACACAGAAGAAAATTAATTGTGTTGTAATGGGAACGTTACTCTCTTACGCTCCTTCCTGTCTTACTCTGTTACCCTCTCATCCTCTCTACCCCTCTCTTCTCTCAGCCCTGCTCCGAGCTGTGCCTGGCAGCTCCAAGCAGGGCCCTGCACCCAGGCCCTTTGCAATAAACCGCAAGTTCCACGACCTGGCTGCAGAGATCTCTTGTCTCCGTCCGTCCCGACCGTCCTACCCCCCGACACTCCTACAAACGCTCTCATCCCTTGTTTTCCCCAAACCAGGATTTCCCATTGCCACCCCCAGGGAGGCTGTGAGGAAGAGGAAGATGCCCCGGGACACTGAGGCAGGTGAGGAGGAAGTCAGTGCCCCTTTCCCCTCTGTGCTGCTCCATCTCCCAGCCCAGCACGGCCCTGGCTGCAGCTCAGCCCTGGGGGGATCTCCTTGCCCTTGCCTGTGGCACGGAGGCAAATCCCATCCTGTCCTTGTCCTTCCTCCCCCAGAGCAGGAGCTGAGCATGGAGAGCAGGGAGGACAAATGCCTGCGGCAGAACCTGGTGGCAGAGGCCGTTTTGAGCGGCTCCACGGCGCAGGAAGCCAACGGGGAGGAAAAGCCCCGGAGATGCCGCACAAGGAGGGGCTGCAAACGCAGCCGGCGGGGATCTGAGGGGGAAAGAGCCAGCCTGGGCCGGGAAGGCGGCCGGAGACGGAGCCAGAGCTCGGAGCTGGTGCTCCATGAGCAGCTCCATGATGGGGAGAAGCCCCACACGTGCGTGGAGTGTGGGAAGAGCTTCAGGTGGAAGTGCAACCTGATTGTGCACCAGAGGATCCACACTGGGGAACGGCCCTACGAGTGTGAGGAGTGTGGGAAGAGCTTCAGGCAGAGATCCAGCCTGATCAGCCACCAGAGGATCCACACTGGGGAACGGCCCTACGAGTGTGGGGAGTGTGGGAAGAGCTTCAGCCGGAGCTGCAACCTGATCAGGCACCAGAGGACCCACACTGAGGAGAGGCCCTACGAGTGTTCCAAGTGTGGGAAGAGGTTCAAGACCAGCTCCTGTCACCTCCGGCACTATCAGATTCACAGAGAGGAGAGGCCCTTCCAGTGCCGCGACTGCGGGAAGGGATTCAAGCAGAACTCCGTTCTCATCAACCACCGGCGCTTCCACACTGGGGAGAGGCCCTACGAGTGTGATAAATGCAGGAAGAGGTTTCCAACCAGCTTCTGTCTCCTCCAGCACTATCGGATTCACAGAGAGGAGAGGCCCTTCCGCTGTCCCGACTGCGGGAAGGGATTCAAGCAGAACTCTGCCCTCATCACCCACCGGCGCATCCACACTGGGGAGAGGCCCTACGAGTGTCCCCAGTGTGGGAAGAGCTTCTCCAGCAACTCTAACTTGACCCAACACCAACGGAGGCACCAGTAGGGGAAGCCCTGGGAGTGCCCTGAGTGCGGGCAGAGCTTCGTGCGCTGCTCCAGCTCCATCCCCCACTGGAGGAGGCACTTTGGGCACAGCCCTGGTCACTCACATTCCCTGTGATCCATGTTGGGAACACACCTGGCTGGTTCTCCTTTTGGTTTGGCCTTAATTTTCCTCTGCTTCACCTTCATCCTTTAAAAACACCCAAAACTGGGTTAAATGAAGCTTCGAATATATCTGAAGTTCCATAACTTTTCAGTTGTTTTAGAGGGAATTTAGGATTTGGGGTCAGGTTCTGTGTGGAGTGCTGCCATTGCCAAGAGGCAGGAATTTGATCTCACCCTTCTTGTGTTGCTAGGAACTCCTCCCCTGACCCAAACCCCAACTCCACCCTTGGGATGCCCTATAATAACTCCACGGCCCTTCCTGTACCCTGTCTTTGGGGGATAAGAAATGGATTCCCAAAGGATCAGCCCTTTTTCCGACTGGATTCCAAACGATCAGCCATGTTCTCCACTGGATTCCTAAAGGATCAACCTTTTTCACTGGATTCCCAGAGGATTCTGACTGTGTCACTGGTTTTTTTGTTTGTACTACTGCATTTATATTTTTAATTTTTCCTAATAAAGAACTGTTATTTCTACTCCCGTATCTTTCCCTGAGAGCCCCTTAATTTCAAAATTGATTAATATAATAATAGTAATTATAGTAGTAATAGTAATAATAGTAATAATAATAATAATAATAATAATAACAATGATAATAGTAAAAGGGAGGGGGTTTTCATTTTCCATTTCAGTGGAGGCTCCTGAAATGGGGAGACACCCTCAAGGATGGGCCATGTAAAACAGTTCCTGAAATATGTAGATTAGTTTATGGATATGCATGAGGGGCCATGAATATGCAACAGGCTGATGTAATTAAAACCAGAATAATTAGGGGTGTCCTCGAAAATAACTAGGGGGGTCTTCGTGGCCATAACAACTTTTGCTCAGTTGTCCTTGTCTCCCATGACATCAGCCTGTTGCATATTCATCGACATTTTGCATATCCGTAAAGTACTTTACATATTCCAGGAACAAAATTGGCTTCATCCTGTTTGGGGGTCCCACCTCCCTCCCACCTCAATTTGGGGGTCCCATTCCCCTCCCAGCTCATTTTTGGGGTCTCACCCCCCTCTTTTCCCCGCCCTCGCTCCCCTTTCCAATCGTTCTCCCAATCCTCTCGCTCGTGTTTGGTTTTGGGGGCTCCAGGCCCCTCCTGCTCCGTTTTGGGGTCCCGACCCCGTTTTGGATTAACGTGGGGTCTCCAATCCATCCCCAGGGTCATCATCCGCCCCCCGCCCCCATATTCCGCTTCTGGCAACTGATGAGTCATCAGCGAGACACGCTCTGATTGGCTGGAAATTACCCCGCGCGGTCTCTGAGTATTTACCGCAGTGAGAGGCCTTGGTATGTGCCTGGCAAGTGATGAGTCAGAGTGGGGCCGGGCGCTGATTGGCTGAAAATCGCTGAGCGGGGCCAGTGCTCTGAGTTTGTGCCCAGCAAGTGGAACGTCATCAGTACCGCACATTCTGATTGGTCGGGATCTGTTTTGGGGTGGAGATGGGAGGAACTGGGGTTACTTGGGTTTTCTTAGGGTTTATTTAGGGTTTGTTTGGGGTTTATTTGGGGTTATTTATGGACTATTTGTGGTTTATCTTGGGTTTTACTCGGTTTATTTGAAATTTTTTAGGTTTATTTGGGTATATTTGGATGTATTTGGGTTTGTTTGGGCTTATTTGGAATTATTTGAGGCTCTTGGGGTTTATGTTGTTTTATATAGGGCTTTTTTTAGGTGTACTTGAAGTCATTTGCGTTTTTTTTGACTTAATTTGGGTTTTGTTTTCTTTTTTTGGGGGTTATTTGGATTTGTTTGGGGTTATTTGAGGGACTTCTAAGTATTGTTTGGAGTTATTTGGGGGTTATTTCGAGTATTTTGGGGTTAGTTGGGTTATTTGGGTCATGTGGGTTCAAAAAACTGGGAATGTTTCTCCTGCAAAAAATGTGAATTTTTCCTTAAAAATCTGAGAATTTTTCCCCAAAACACCGGGAATGTTCCCTTAAAAATCCCTGGCTTTTCCCAGCCAATAGCGGCACGTCCTGCCCCAAACCATCCAATCACCGCACTTCATCTCCCAAATTAACGAATCACGGCGCACCCTGCCCCAAACCAACAAATCACTGCAGGTCTCCTCTCAGGAACACCGACTTCCCCGTGCGCCGATCCAACCAATCACCGCATGCCTCCCCTCAGACACACCCGCCTCTCATGCGCCCGATCCAACCAATCACTGCACGTCTCCCCTCAGCAATGCCCGCCTCTCTTTCCTCAATCTGACCAATCACTGGGCGTCTCCACTCCGCAAAGCCCGCCTCCCGCGCCCCTCTCCTGTCTATCACCACGCCCTCTATGTAACCAACCAATCACCGGGTGTCTCCCCTCACCAACTCCCGCCCTCCCCGCACCACTCCAGCCAATCAGAGCCGAGCCTCAAGCGGCGCCCCCTGACTATGGGGCCGGGCATTGAACGGGCGCCCCCTGCCCCCCCCCGCCCCCCGGGACGCCCTCAGGGACCCCCGGGAGCCGCCCCGGGCTCGGGCGGGTCCTGCGGGAGGCGCTGGAGAGAGCGGGGGAGGGGCTGGGAGAGGACGGGGGGCTCCGGGAGCTGCTGAGGAGGCGCAGGGACAGGTGAGGGGTCCTGGAGGGGTCGTGAGGGGAATTTGGGGAGGGGTCTTGAGGACATTTGGGGGAGATTTGGGAAGGGTCTGGGGGGAACTTGCGGGGGTTTTAGCAGGGTCTGGGGGTGCTGGGGGCCTTTGGGGGGGAATTTGGGGAGGGATCCTCGGGGGGTGTCACGATCCGTTCTCATGGACGGGTTTCGTGATGGTTCATGGATTTGATCTCAGGATGCACGAAGAACCGACATGCGATAGAGGGATTAAGGGAGAGAAAAAGATGGGGGAAGAGAGAGACAAAGGAGAGAGAGAGAGAAAGAGGGGGATAGAGCTACCAAACGTAGAGACAAAGTCCTTTGGTCCAGTCCAGTCCAGGATCCGCCTGTTACATCAGGGAGATCTCAAAGTCTCTCAGTAACTGAGAGGTTTTTATTATGATAACTCCATTGGAAATTGCGAGGGGGGGGAAACAGATACAATGAGGAATAGATGTAACAGGTAGTCCATGCTCTCAGCAGTAAGCGAGAGCCATTGTCTTCTTGGTCCAGGGGTCACAACCTGCAGGCAAACATCTCGCTTTGGTCAGCTTGCCTCCCCCACACACCTGCCCCGGGCTGGGGGTTTCAGTCCCAGTCCTTGGAAGGAGCAGAGGGGCCTTTTCACATGGGGGTTCCATGTCTCAGTCCTTGATGGAGAGGCTCCTTCCATCCCAGTCTGTCTGTCACGGTGGTTGTAAAACAGGTGAGGGTCTTCTGTGGGGGGACCACCTGAAACTGAGGAGAAGTCCAGCCAGGCCGAGAGGTGGGAGAGCTCCCAAGGCTGTTGTTGCAAAAAGGGCACGGTGCCCCTTCTTCTTCTCATTGGGCTCAGTGTAGCACACAGCAAAGAACACCTATGAAAACAATGGCTTAGCAACGCTCTCAGGTCTCAGGCACATGACTTTCTCCCTTGGAGACAGAGATTTCAGACAGGGGGTGTCTTCTCTTCAGTGGTCCCCCAATGACGATTGTGAGGCAGATGAGGGAAAATTCGGACAGACTCTCACATGACCTTGTGAGTCACGATTGTCTTGAGGGATCTTCATCAGCAGAACTCTCAAGCATCATTGATGAGTCTGCAGAACTCGCCGTACGTTGGTAGTATAACCCGGAAAAATAGGGATGATAGAAAGAGAGGAAAAAGAGAGTGAGAGAAGGAAAAGAAAGGATAGGAGAAGGAGGGGGAAAGGGAAACAATAAACAAACATAATATTGATTATCATAATAATTTTCACAAATGGTTGATTAATTAAAACAATATTACTTTTAAAACAATATTTAAAGGGTTAAAACCAGTCACAAATAATCAAAAGCAAAAGCAATCAACACATATTAATACAAGCATTAACTTTAAAAAATTATTTTCTAAAACAATTCACTAAAAATCGAAACTAATTTCCACAAAATCATAAATGGAAATCAAGGATTATTCCAAAACACATAGGCTTCATTCATAACTGCCTTGTGTCAAATGTCATGGGGATGTCCAAAGTGTAGATAGAGTACATCAGCCAAGTTGTGTGCATGAATATAGACGTCAATCTTGTCAGCTGTTTCATGCTCCAATTAATAATGAATAGGACTACTGATAAAATAAAACCAAACAGAATTAGTATCAAAAGGATAACAATGGGATGACACTGTTCAGGACACCCGTGTGTCCTAGGGTGACGTTACGATTCTTGTATCCCCATTCATATGTTCTGTGCCTTTAAGACTGTATCTGTAATGTGAAAGTTTTGTTTGGGTTTTTCTTATCAAGGACACAGAGACGGGGCAGTGCACAGTTCTGCTTTCGCCTTTTTGCTTTGCTCTCTCTCTCTCTCTGGCTCTTACTTCGGCTTGCTTTTGCTCCTGCTCATTAGCTAGTTTAGCTAAACAGTCCAAATTCCTTCCTGGACTGTTTCTCCTTTCCTTTTTTCAACCTTCTCAAACCTGCTCCAGACTGGGACCTGGGAACACCGAGAGTTTGCACCTTGTGGCTGCAGCAGCTGCCCCAGCGCCGGAGGGACTGAGAACAGAGCGACCACCCCCGAGAGAGACTTTCTGAATTTGTCACCTTTTTCAGAGTGGTGTCATCCGGTATTGTTCATTCTGTGTGCTGGGGGTGCTGTGCCTGTTAAATAAACAGGTTCTTTCCTCTTCTCTCTGAGGAATCCTTCCCAAACCAGTTGGAGGGAGGGGCCATGTGGGTTTGCTTTCTGGAGGGGCCCCCTTTGGAGATTCTCTACCAAATTTAC